TGTTTAACAGAAAGGGCTAGCTGTGAATAAAAGAAGTGTCATGGAACTGTCATGCTTATTTGTAACAGGAGCATATCAGTTCTGTACAGCTATCCGGACACTACCCCTGCTAGGAGGATTCCATGAAGATACTCAGATTACGAGCATCATGTGATCAAGAAACCATGTCTTCTTGGTTCTGTACATCCTCAGCACCTTGGAGAGCACCAAGCATATTGTGTGGTTCTCTATAAAAAATGTAGTATAATTCAAATGAATGAATGATCTGCTTTTGTTTTCACCAACAGTGTCAACCTTCTCCTTCTCCCCCTCTAAATATTCTGCTAAAACTGCTGCCAGTTCACACAGCCACCCCATTTGAATTTAACTTATTTCTTCCCTCTCCTTGCCCAATTATAGAGATATAGAAGTAATGAAGAGTGAAATAGCTATACGACCAATAACCAGAAAGCCACCAACAAAAATTGAAGAGATAAAATAACTATCATTAACTAACAGAGTCAAAAAACCAAAACCAAACTCACTGCCATTGAGTCAGTTCTGACTCATGGCCGACCTCCTTTGGGTTTCCGAGGCAGTAAATCTTTACGGAAATAGATTGCCCAGTCTTCCTTCTGCAAACAGGGTAGAAGTTATATAAATCATTTAGATGTATTGTAGGCATATTCAGTGTGGTATCAAAGACTTGAGTCTTACTCTGAAAGAGTGGAATTCTCCACAATCGTTATTTTCTTTTCGGTTGCTTGCTTCATTTCAAATATCAGATCTAAAGACCTGGAACAGGTTTTCCAAAGCAGACGTCAGCCATTTACAACAGACAACACTCTGTGTGAGAATACAAACAATGTCCAGGATTTTATGTCAAGGGCAAAAAGTAAAATGCAAGATTTCAAGATTCAAAAGAAAATATTAGCCTCTTGTCCCAATTCTGAGCTCAACACCTTGATTTGTTCATGCAAATCAAACAATTACATACCTTCTCGAGGTATAAATATAATAACTATTTGCGTATGTAATTCATATGTTGTATTTTGAAAATCAAAGTGATTTTCCAAATGTTTGATTTAGTCTGTTGAAAATCCTTCACCCTGGCTACTGTTAGTTGAATGTGATGGTAAATATATACCATTCATTGCCTTCTAGTGGGCTAACTTCATTATCTATGCATGTGGGATTGTTGACAGAATTAGATGGTACTTGTACAGTAGAGTTACAGCTGTCCAAGTTCTAAATAATAGCTATGACGAACCCCATGGGGGAAGATTCCTAATAATTTTCCACATTTTCTGTGTCTGTGACAGGTTTCATGTATACACTCAGCTATTAAAGCATTAGAGTTTCTTTGATTTCTTAATCATTACCAACTTTAGCTTTGATTACCCATGGAGTTGCAAGCTGTTAAAATTATCATTTGCCTCTTACTAATTTTGAAACCAAGTGCTGTTTCTTCATTCACTGCAGCGCAGGTCTTAACTTGGCATACACACAACTCAGGAGCACTAAGAATTTACTGTTAAAGAACATAGTCTAAAAATATTGAATTTGTAAATTAAATGAGGGTAAACGGAGGAGAATGCTTTTAATTACTAAAGAATTCAGGTTTTAAATGAATTCAACAAAGTTTGTTGCATATGTGTGGTTTTTTTTGTTTTATTTTGTTGTGTTTGTTGCTTTTAAATTTCTCCTGCTGTTTACAGTGTAACATTTATGGTGAGAGTGGAGAGGCAGGAAATGTAAAAGATAAGTTTTAGTACTAAAAGGCCAGTTAAAATTCAACCAGAGTTGAAGATAATGTTGGATTATCATGTAGGTTAATAGAATATAGAAAGCGTCTTGGGAAAATTCTACACAAAACTTTTTCAAAACCACACATCTACATACGGTGCCTTACACATAGTAAGTACTCAATAAATGCCTGTTAAATTGGTTTAATGTATATTAAGATTAATTGATGGCGTGAGAAAATGAACTAGATTACCTCAAGCATTCACTCATTCATCCATCCATTTAAATATATTTATTGTACATGGCAAATGTAGGTTTTGAAAAGAAATAAAAAGTTGATGACTTTTTTAAAAATGTCTTTTCTGTTATGGATGTACTTCTACAACATTGAACTGAAGGAATCTGAGCTTCCCACTCACTATCATTTTTGTCAGCATGTTTTTGATGCTTTCAGTACAGCCCCTGACGCACGGGGCCCCACGCACAGCAGAAGGAGACACTGCCTGGCCTGCACCATCCCCGTGATTGGTTGCAGAGCAGACTGTTGTGATCCATAGAGTTTTCGCTGGCTTATTTTTGGAAATAAATTGCCAGGTCTTTCTTCATAGTTCATAGTACAGGTATACATTGGTTGTAATGCATTATGATTTTAATTACTTCAGAGAAGTATGATGCTCACTTAAGAACTTCTCCTATCTGTGGTGCTGTTAGTGAGTCCATCATCCTAAGGCACTAGGTGATTTTGCTTGCAAGCTACAGGAGGCTTGCAAATCACTGGGCACAGCTAAACAGTATCTGTCCTCTAAAAAGGCACAGCCGAAGAGGAATTTACATCAATTTTTCTTTCTTTCTTTCTTTTTTTTTTTTTTTTGGTCAAATTCTACTTTGTTTTGATATATGTATACTAGGTGCTGTGCAGGTCAAAAGAACCTGATAAAAAAGCACAGCTGGACAAAGTTGCATCATTTATTATCCCATATTAACAGTGGAATTGAAGTCTCAAGATTATTTCCATTTTCTCTTCTCCAATTCACATTTCATTAACCACCTTTGTTTAAATTCCATGACTCCCAAATTTCTGTAACTTAAACAAAGAAACACGGCTGTTGTATAATGGCTGTTGAAATTCAGAGCTGGTAGCCAGAATCCAAAGGAACATGAAATGAATCAATGTGGACAAGAAGCTTCCGTGAATGAAATAAGAATTAAATCATTCAAGTCTGCCACACAGAATGGCTACCACCTGCTCCTCCTTGCAAGTACCCAAAGTACTTGCCTTAAAAAGTTTTTTTTACCTCTGTAAGATGGCTCTATAAGGAAAAAAAAAAAAAAATCAGAAAAGTATCAATTTTTCATAAATGGCACTTCTAGCATCTCACAATACTAACTTTCCTGGCATTTTTTGGTATAGCCCTAATTGAAAAGTGCTTTGCAGATTATCTTTCCATTAAATAAAAGAGTGTTGTTGTTATGTGTGGTTGAGTTGGACCCAACTCATAGCGACCCCTCCTTGGGTTTCCAAGGTGGTATCAGTGTGGAAGTAGATTGCCCAACCTTCCTTCCAAGGAGTGGCTGGTGGGTTTGAACCACCAGCCCCTTGGTTAGCAGTCAGATGCCTTAGGCACTACACTACCAGAGCTCCTAAATAAAAGAGTATGGTTGAGTTATTTCTTTAGAAAATAGCAACCAACATATTGGTGATGAAGGGTCATCACTAAAATTATAATACTGAAGTATATCCCACCGTCTTTTCACCTTGTTTACCCTCTACCTTGTTTTTGCTTTTCATAGTTTTTTGTAAGATGTTGTTACATAAGAAATAAATGTCAATGTCATTATGAGTGACTCTGCAGTCTTCTTGGAAGTTTCACTTTCTAAGTTAAAATTATTGCTATTCAAGATTGAGTCATTTCCTGAGAGCACCTGAGCATAAGTTGATGTGATATCACCAGGCTCAGCCAGTTGATACCCATTGCCAGAGTACAGCTGTCTTTGAGTATGACCTGTGTATGTGTTAGAGACATGGTTACTCATAAAGCAGTTAACAGTGTTCTTATAAGAGCCAAGTGGTGGAGTGAGCCAGTTAGGGTATTTTGTCTCAAAATATAATTAGAAAAAAAAGAACAGAATGACAAACATCATAATGTGAATGATGGTATCTCTGGGAATAAACTTTACTGTAGATTTTAATTTTATTTTTCCATTATTTCTAAAATGGGGTGGGGGATGCAGTCTTAAAAAAAGAAGAAATAATGTTGTTGTTGTTGTTATGTGCCGTCGAGTCAGCCCCGACTCACAGCAACCCCTCCTTGGGTTTCCAAGGCAGTATCACTACGGAAGTAGGATTGCCCAACCTTCCTTCCAAGGAGTGGCTGGTGGGTTTGAACCGCCAGCCGTCTGGTTAGCAGGCAAGTGTCTGGTTAGCAGGCAAGTGTCTTAGCCACTATGCTACCAGAGCTCCCAGAAGAAATAATAGTTGTTCCTTATTTCTTATTTTGTGTTTGCATGTCCTAGGAGACTTGCTCAGGCTTTTGTTCTTCCGTGGGATTCCTCTCCCAAGCAGTCTGTCCTCCTTGCCTGTGCTGCTGAAGTCCATTTCTGTCACTTAGCAGTATGAAATATGCATATGTTTGTATGACTAGGACCTAAAGATAAATATGTAACCGTAGCTACTTTGATTTTTTTTAATTTGGTTTTCATAATAAATTAGGTTTGTAGGTGGATTCTCGTGTGGATTTTGCTACAAGCCAATGCTTATGGTCTTTGTATTTGCAGATGGTAAGAGTCCAGGAAGATGAATAAGTTGAGATGCATGAGAGGGCTTAGGCAATAAGGGAAGCAGAGTGGTGGATTTAGTAGGCTGGATCATATTTGGGGGATATTAATTATTGGAAAACCATTCATCAGCATTTCTCAGGTCCTGCCTCCTAGATGTTAGTCCAGATTAGATTTCTAACTCATTTAAAATGTTTCTACCTTGATACATTGGCCGTTAAAAATTACATTTAAACTGTGTATTAAAATTATCATTGTGGATATCTTTGCCACTGCTGTCCAAGGAAATACCTCATAATGTTTTCGTTCTTTTGTAAATTTCTGGATTTTCAAAAATTTCTGTATCCTTTATGAGACTGTCAAAGAAAAAAAAATCCTACAACTGTCTTGAGACATTAAAGAAAACAGAATAAAAGTTGAATGCCTTGGAAGTTTTGGGTAGTTCAAAAAAAGCAAGGAATAATTTGGTTTATTTGTTTTTTCCCATCTAATATTTTTAGGTACAAGCCTATGCAGAAAGTGGATGGGGTTGCAGATGGTTTCACAGGAAGTGGTCAACAGTCAGGCACATCTGTTGAGCAAACTGTAATTGCCCAAAGTCAACATCATCAACAGTTTTTAGGTATGTTAAGGTGTGATGCATATTAGTTGCTATTAGGATTTCAAAAGCAAAAGAACAAAAGCAGTCTTTTCTCCTAGTGTGATGTCTGTTACCAATGTTAATTACATAGAAAGATTTTTGTGTGTGTGTGCTGAAACTTGCACATCATGTGATGATTGTAGTTCATGCCTACCTTCTCATGATAACTAGAGCTTGTTTTTTTTTTCCCCAAATTTTAATCTCAAGCTATTTGGGCCTTTTAAATGAATTTGCATTAATGGGACTTCTGTGATCAAACCTGTATCGTGTTTATTTTCAGTAGTAATTTCAGGTGCCTAGAAGAATTCTCATTTGCTCAGTATGAAGTTACATGTGCATACAGCCTCAGATGAGGGGTAAAGTGATGATAAACTTTGAAAAAGTATTTTGCTCTTTTAAATCGATTACAGGACCTCCAGTTTTTGCAGTTTATAGATGGTATACATGTTTCTTGTTATTGAGAGAGTTAGGAAGTGGAACTTGAGCATTTTGCATATTCTTGCCATAGCCAAGGTGCAAAAAATGACCCTGTAACTGACAACTTTTCTAGAGATGAGCACGCATAATTTCTGTGCTGCAGATCAAGATAAGTAGAAGCTCTCCGTGAGCGTGTGTGTGTATGTCTGTGTGTGTATATGGGTCTATGTGCACTTTCTGACAAATAAGGTAGACTCTCAGCTAGCAATAGCCACAGAAGTTGAAAAGGCTATGGCAGTGATTCCCCAACTCAAATCCTCAAGTATATCCTTGGGGACCTTTGAGCTCTCAACAAGAATTTTGATTTTTTTCATTGGGAGCTTTTATTTCAATTATAATCTTAAGAAGACAAAAGCACATTCTGTATGCTTACCACTCTACGACATTAGTCTACGTGTGTGTGTTGGAATTTATGATCAAGGAGGCATCAGAGTGTATCACATTAACTGTACAGAGTGAGTGAGACGAGAACAGAGACACTTACTATGTAACTTTTGCCTTCCTACCAAGGGAAGACTAAGTGATGTCCCAGTGTTGTGTGTCATGTGAACAGGGAAGAGTAACGGGAGAGCCAGCCACCAGGCAGTTTCTGTTGGTGTAGGTTAGTCAGGAGGTAATCTAGTGACAGGACAACAGCAGCACCCATCAATCACATCAAATGAATGTTGTTAAGCTTAATGTGATTTTTGTGGTTTCCTTTGTATTTATTTGTAGCTTTTTTGGTTTTTGATTATGTAAGAGATAGGCACACAACAAGCTCAAAGCTAGATTGATTAATTGATTGATTGATATTTTTAAGTAACAAAACAATACACAAATTAATACCAGCAAGCTTGAGATATGTTTCTTTTAATTTGAGCCCTATTTTAAAAGACACTATGATATGTGATTTCCAGAGTAATTGTAGTGACAATTTAGTTTTCTCCAAAATTTTAGGGGTGTTCCTTCAACTTGAATAATCTCAAGAAGTTGTTGATCTAGTATGAGTTCTCTTTTGTGCTGCTGCCGCTGCTGCTAAATTTGGCTTGCAAAATACTAAAATGAAAAATCTTTGCTCTGTGGACCACTGACCCTTAATTTTCTTTTTCCTTTTTAGTCTTCTTAAAATTTCCCTTATTAATCTGTAATTGACACCATCCACAATCGCTTTTTTCTGTTGTGTTGTCCTGGTAACAGATGCATCTCGTGCACTCCCTGAATTTGGGGAAGTGGAAATCTCTTCTCTGCCAGATGGCACTACCTTTGAGGACATCAAGTCACTACAGAGTCTTTATCGAGAGCACTGTGAGGTAAGTCTTTTCAGACATAGTCCCTACGCATGCTAAGTCTTGCCAGGCAGCTTGCTACAACAAAATAATAAAGCTTATTAGAGGAAGGTAAAATTAGTTCCCATTGCTCTAAGCACCAACACATTGATTTTTTTTCTTTCTTGTTTTAATGTGGAGAGCTGAGAAATGCAGGAAATAGAGAAGCAGTTTTACTCTCCATCTTGTTGTTGTTGTTGTGTTTGCCATCAAGTCAGATCCGACTCATAGCGACCCCTCTTTGGGTTTCTGAGGTGGTATCACTATGGAAGTAGATTGCGCAACCTTCCTTCCGAGAGTGGCCGGTACATTTGAACTGCCTGCCTTCTGGTTAGCAGTCAGATGCCTTAGGCACTACACCGCCAGAGCTCCCCTCCATCTTCTTAGCCTATTTTAATATGAATCTTTTGATTCAACAGTTCCACATGTAGATACTGATCCTGCAGATATACTTCCATAGGGGTGAAGGGACAAGGGCTCAGGAAATTTGTTGCATTATTTTAATGAGAGATTGGTTACAGCTTCAATATCTAATAGAAAACCAGATAAATAAGTTCTAGTACATTTTGTAGAGTGAAGTACTCTGCAGCCATTAATAAGAACAGGCAACCCTCAATATACTAATATGGAACAATCTCCAGGACTTAATGTTAAGAGAAAAAATCAAGATACAAAACAGTGTGCATAGGATCCTATCACTTGAATGAAAAAGAACACACATATACATCTCTCCCACAGAAAGAACAAGAAAATGTTAACAGTGGAAGGCTATGGCTATGTGTATGTGTATAGAAAATTGGATGACTGGGGCTCAAGGCAGAGATGAGTAGTTTTTCAGTATCCTTTTTCTTTTTTTTTTTTTTTAACCTTTTGCCTATTATGGAGCTCTGGTGGTGTAGTGCCTAAGGCATTTGACTACTAACCAGAAGGCTGGGGGTTCAAACCTACCAGCCACTCCTCAGAAGGACAATTGGGCAATCTACTTCCATAGAGATACTGCCTCGAAAACCCAAGGAGGGGTCTCTATGAGTCAGAAACAATTCGACAGCAGTGAGGTGTTTTTGTTTTTTACCTGTTACACTTTAAGCATGTATTTCTATTAAAAATTATTTCTAGAAATGTTTAATAAAGCCCTAAAGGTGTTTCTTCCAGGGATCATTGAGTCTCTAGTTTATTTTATTTTGTTTTCATGGCTAAGTAAGGTTTCTATGGAGCCCTGGTGGCACAATGGTAAACTGTCCATCTGCTATCTAAAAGGTCTACTGTTAGAACCCACCCTGTGGCTCTACTGGGGAAAAAGTACAGCTATCTGCTTCTGTAAAGATGACAGCCTAGGAAACCCTTTTGAGCAGTTCTGCTCTGCCCTGTAGGGTCACTTTAAGTTGGAATTGACTCCATGAGGCAGTTTTACTCTGTCCTATAGGGTCACTGTGAGTTAGAATCTACTCAATGCCACAGCCACAGCAAGGTTTCTCAGGGTGTTTTCCATCCACCCGAGTATACCACATCAGAGCTGGCTGTATTATCTCCAGGAAGTGAGCTTTCCACTCCAGCATGTGAATGCACCTATAGCTCACGTAGTGGTCGATTGTTTTGGGTATAATTGAGAGTTTATTCCAACTCATATACTGAGCCATGTGACAGAGTAGAATGCCCTGTAGGGTTTCCTTGGCTATAATCCCCACAGAAGCAGATTATTAGGTCTTTCTCCTGCAGAGCTTCTGGGTGGGTTCAAACCACCAGCCTTCCCAGTTGGAGTTGAGTCCTTAACTGTTGCACTACCAGGGCTCCTTGCTCACCTAGTAGAAAAGGGATAATGAGTTGCATTAAGAGGTTTCTTAAGTGCCTCTCCTTTGAAAAAGGGATTCTATTTAGAACTTAAATAGCTTTATTCCAGAGGCATTTATAATCTACTTTGGAGTCAAAGATAATCCTTTTGACTTCCTGGGCAGTCCTCTTGTCTGCTGACAATACAGTGTGCAGCAAGATATCTCCACTCACAACGTTCACAGGTGGCTTCCCATTCCAGAAATGAGAACTACTTGAGTGAATCTTAGTGCTTGTCAAGGGTACTAGATGATTAACAACCAAGGGCCAGGTCTGTCCTTATTAACGTTGCCTGTGCCAAACGTTTTCCTCAGCATGTCCTGCTAGTTTGTTCTCAGTCTTCTTTGGAATTCTGAAGACCACTTAATATTCTCTTCTCTATGCTGTTCTCAGGGAGTTCTGGTAGTGTAGTGCCTAAGGCATTTGACTGCTAACCAGAAGGCTGATGGTTCAAACCCACCAGCCACTCCTCAGAAGGAAGATTGGGCAATCTACTTCTGTAGAGATTCTGCCTCAGAAACCCAAGGAAGGGTTTCTGTGAGTTGAAATCAACTTGACAGCAATGAGTTTGGTTTTGGTTTTGGATGCTGTTCCCAGTATCAGAGAGTGTCTGGGTGGCCCACACATATCCAGAACAAATTGTTTCTTTCTACACCTGCATCATCTACAATAAAAGTATGTTCAGATTCCCTGAGCAGTTTCTCATTTCTTTATGTTAAGGTGGACCTCATTTTAAGCAAAAGCAGCCTACAAACATGTAATTGGGAGTAATTATTATTTTTGACCTTGATAAAGAATGTACAGTGAGATTATTTGAAGTGTCAGATTCCTCCAGTAAGATTATAATGTTCTTTGGGTTATAAAATTTCCAGTGATGCAACACGTTTAGAGATTTTTTTCAGGAATAAATATACTCTATATGAAGAGATACGGACATCTATAGTAATTAATCTATGTAGTCAATGACATAGATCGCCAGTTATTTCACAGTTATGAGGGTTCATGCCATCTCTGGTGGGGTGTAGTGTGACATATATACAAATGAGTTCTAATGAGTTTCCTGTCAAACTTTCAAAGTGCAGGTGCCTGATTCTCGTATCTAGACTTGTAAATAGCCATTTATACTCAGCTTGCAGAATAGGGATTATTTTCTCTTGTGTATGTTCGTATATTCTCGTCTGAACATATTTGTAAGTGGGTGGACAAATTATAAAATGTTTTATTCATTTGTAAAACTGTCTCAGATGAGGCTGATGTGAATGTCCTTTTCAGAAGAGTTATTTGCAGTTATTTAATTTAAATGATACTGAATTTAAGATGTACTGAAGTTCTTGATTGATATTTTTTCATTTCACATTACCTCCTGTTTGTTTGTTCGTTTAAGAAAATTAATATACCTAGTTTGGTTATTTTTGTTTGTTTAAATTTTATTTTAGTGAAACATGTAAAAGAAGGTTTGCCATATAGCCATTTTTCAGCACATAATTCATTGACATTAATTATTTTCACCAGGCTGTACTACCATCACCACTCTCCATTTCTGAAAGTTTCACATCACCCCAAAGAGAAACTCAGTCCCCCTTTAGCAAAACCTTCCATTCCCCTCCTCCCCTCCATCCCCAGTAACCTCCAAGAAATTTTGTTCTCTGTGCATTTGCCAATTCTAGATATTTCATACAAGTGGGATCCTAGGATTCTTTTCTTTGTAAGTCTGACTTATTTCATTCTGCATAATGTTTTCTGTGTTCATCCATTTGTAGCATGTATCAGAATTTTGTTTCTTTGTATGGCTCAATTATATTCCATTGTGTGTGTACACCACATTGCATTTACCCATTCATCTGTTGGACACTTGGGTCATTTCTACCTTCTGGCTATTGGGAATAGTGCTACAGTGAACATTGGTCTACAAGTATCTGTTTGAGTCCTGCTTTCAAGTTTCTTGGGTAGCTACCTGCCCAAGAATTGCTGGGTCATATGGTAATTCTGTGTTTAACTTTTTGAACAGTCGTCAAAAGATTTTCCATAATGGCTGCACCATTTTACATCTCTACCAGCAGTGCACAAGAACTCCATTTGGAACCTTCCACATTCTTTTTTTTTTTTTAATTGTCTTTAATGTGAAAATTTACACAGCAAATTAGATTCCTCTTAAACAATTTTTATACACATGGCTCCATACCATTGGTTACAGTTTTTACGATGCATCAGCATTCTCATTATTTCCATTCTGTTTATTCTGTTCCCGTTGCTTTAGTTACCCTTTCCCTCCTTGCTTTCTCACCTTTGCTCTTGTGTAAATGTCCATTTGGTGTCATACAGTTCACTGTTTGAGCAAACACATTATTTACAGATAATATTGCTTATTTTGTAAATCAGTCTATTATTTGGTTGAAGCTTCAACTCCATGTTCAAAGGTTATCATAGGGTGGTAGTCTCTGGGCTTCCTCTAGTCTCTGTCAGTCCAGTAGGTCAGGACTTTTTAAGGAATTTGAGTTTTGTTGTATAGTTATCTTCCATGCTATTGGGTATCTTCTATCATGTCTCTGGTCAGAATGGGCGGTATTGGGAGCCAGGCAATTGGTAGCCATCTAGTTCTGGTCTCAGTTTGAAGAGGTTGTAGTCTGTGGGTTGGTGTCTTCTTTAATCCTTTGATTTCCATCATTCTCTTTTGCTCTGTATAAGTAGAGACCAATAGTTATATCTTAGATGGCCACTTGAGAGCTTTAAAGACATCAGAGGCTGTTCACCAGTGTAGAACTACTCTCAGTGTAGAACATTATCACTGTGAACTGCTATGCCAATTGACTGAGTTGTCCCCCAAGACTATGGTCCTAAGGCCTTTGAGCCAACAAACTAGTTATTGGAACATGTCTAGGAAGCCTCTGTAACTGTTCCCTGTATGTAATTTATTATATGTGGATATATATGCAGCACACACAAATGTGTATATACATATGCCTGTAGATAAACCTGTACACGCATGTGCTTTTATTCATCTATGCCCTTCTACACACATATATGCATAATGTGATTTGGCTATTATTTAGAATGTTCACAATTTGTTTATCAAAGATATTTTATAAGTATAACTAGCTCTCTTATGTTAAGGAACAAGTATAATTTTCTGCACAAGTTGCTAAGACTGTAATTTTTTCTCTTTTATCATATGCACAGTGCTCTCACAGCTATCTCAGAGACAAAGGTCCTTGTATGTAAGGTATTAATAGTTACCGTCACACTTTTACAGATGTCTGAGGATGTGCCTTAGCTAAGATTGAGGAAGCAGCTATAATAATGTATCCAATGAGGAGGTTTGGGGGTTTTGCCTGCAGTAAAGTACACCTATAAGCCCTTTATTTGCAGAGCTTGCACTTTGCATTTTTATTGTGGCTGATGTTAGAGCAGAGGAGGAGTGTGTTAATTACTCCTTTCTCTCCATGGTCATCATCCAATTATGGATAGTATTTCCTACTATAGTGTTCCCAGAAAGTTCCCCTAAGCAGATTTTAATATTTGAATTGGTCTCAGAGTGGCTCTGTAAAGGGCCTTGGTCACTGTCTTGTAGCATGCACGAGGGAAAGTCCACACACATAGAAGTCTAGAATTAGGAAGTTGTAGATTGCTCTTTTTGCAGTCTGCCTTCTGCAGATTGGTCTTGATAGGGCTGCTTTACCTGTCCTCACCCTGAGTGCTGACAACATCAAACACATTGTGCTGAGTAGTTCTGTCTTTTATGCTCAAAATTAATCAGAGAATCACGTGTTCTTTACTAAAACAAGTTATTTTCTGTTTTCTGCCTGCTTTCATCCTAAAGCTAATTTAGAAACTAATTGGGATGGCAGGGTGAAATTAAATGTGATCATCAAAAGTTGATGAAGAAAATGGCAGATTTCAGCCTCATTAAAAAGAAGAAGAAGAAGAAGTGCCCTTGCTGCAGCTGAAAAATGGTTCTTACCTGTTGCCGTGAAGTTAAGGCTGGCTCACAGTGACCCTGTAGGACACTGTAGAACTGTCCTGTAGTATTTCTAAGGCTGTAATCTTTATGAAAGCAGACTGCCATATTTTTCTCCCATGGAACAGCTATTGGGTTCAAACCACTGACCTTTCAGTTAGCAACCAAGCACTTAAACACTGTACTACTAGGGCTCCTTGAAAATGGTTCTAGAAGATAAAAATTCAGGAGGAAGTGGAGGTGAGTCCTCAAGGTTAGGAAAGGGGTAGTCTTGAAGTGCCTCTCCAAAGAGATAGGATGGGGTGCTTGGAGGCTGAATGGAATGCATTTGTGACCAAGGAAGACTACTTTCTGAGCTCTTGTCTGCTCAGAGAGGTGCCTCCTCTGAGAGCCAGTCTGACTCTTGGAAACACCCTAGAGCCAGGAGAAATACCTTAGCCAGAGCCAAGGCAGCCCTAAATCCATCTGCCACACACACACACACACACACACACACACACATACACACACGCTTCTCCACACCTTTCACTTGTGTCATCGTTGATGGCCAAGCTGGGGAACTGGTATGACTGGATCTGTTTTCTGCATCCTGGTGTGCTAGCTTTGAGAAAAGGAGGACAGCAGCAGCCACGGAGGTAGAAGGATGCAATGGGTAAGGGAATAAAAGAAAAGAAGGAGAAGAAAATGGAGAGAAGGGGAAGCAAGCACAGACATGGAGGAGAAAAGAGACGTCACAGTGAGGGTAGGAAGTGAGGTGATTTGAAGAGCAAATGGGTTACCCTGCTTAATCTTTCAAGAGTTTTTAGTTCTGTCCCCTTAGCAGGTATCTTTGTTTTCTTCTGCTGGAAAATCCAGCTCCTTATTACCAGGATTCTAAATTATGAGCTCTGTCATCTTATGTTCTCTTTACATACCCTGTAAACAAAATTATAAGGTCATACCGATACCCTTTTGTTTTTCAGGCAATATTGGACGTTGTTGTGAATCTTCAGTTTAGCCTGATAGAAAAATTGTGGCAAACATTCTGGCGCTACTCTCCCTCAACTCCAGCTGACGGCACTACCATGACTGAGTCAAGGTCAGAGTCAGTATGCTTCCCACTTCTCTTATGGCCGAGGAGATGTCAAAGCAATTAAATTAGAGATATGTATACCAGTTGTGAACCTTACCTGATAACATTAAATGAGTAGACTGATGCTTTGGCCATCCTAGAAATGAACCATAAACTGCTCTTTTGAGGTTTCAATGTGTACATATACACCCCCATCTTTATTGATTTTGGGGAGTGTAGTAGACCTATTTCATCCTCATGGAACGACTGTCATATCTGCCTTTCATACTGTCAGAGAGTATTAACATGCACAGGCCACTCTGGGGGAGTGTTTTATATATATTTATATATATCCAGCCGCATGGCACCAGCGCAGTGGTGGTATAGTTCTAACCTCAGTAATATTTGATAAACTAAAACTCTTTTTAAAGTCCATTTTCTTTTTTATCCTCATTTGCCATCTATTCATTTGCTACATTTATTCACACCAGCAATCTGAGTGAAATAGAAAGTCGACTTCCGAAAGCAAAGCTGATAACTCTGTGCAAACATGAGTCTATCCTGAAATGGATGTGTAACTGTGACCATGGGATGTACCAGGCTCTGGTGGAGATTCTCATCCCCGACGTCCTTAGACCCATTCCTAGTAAGTTAAATGCAGACGAGTGCGGATGCTTTTGTTCTCATACATTCCACCCAGGAAGGTTGGGGAAGTGACTTTGCAAACAAAAGTGATTCTTATCTCATTTAGATTTGCCAAAGAGAAAGCATGCAACCCAGGGTATCACCAAAAAAAAAAAAAAAAAGGCAGCCTAGAGCAAAACTGGGGAGAAAACATATGTTTCCCAATCTTTCCTTTTCTTTCCAATAAGACTCCCAGGCCAGTCAACCATGTAAAAGTAAATCGGTTCTACCCAGGATGCAGTCCCCTTTTAAAGCCAAAAAATTATTGAAAAATCTGTAATTGTGAGGCCAACCTTTTTTATAGTTGCTTTTGATTGGGAATGAATTGATCTTGGTTTCCAGTGAAGTTGAATTCCCTTATAAAAGCATGTACTTTGTCACCTACATAATGTTAAGAATAAACTACAAATGCAGTTTTCATTAACAGTAATAGTTAACTGGCATTTTGAGAGAAAAATCTATGTAACTACATAAGCATTGCATTCCCATCATGAAGCAAATAGGAATTACATAGATAAGTTAGATGACTTACTAAAGTGCTGATGCTTTTTAAACTACCTTGTAGCAGACAAAACTATTTTCTGCAAGTGTAAATATAAATGCTACCAAGGATTCCAGTATTAGAGACAGTTGAAATGATTCTACACCTACATCCTTATGAGCACATAATGCTGCCCTTGATTTTTAAAGGATAGGATGGAATTCCAACTCCTCAATGGCACTAATGACATGAGAACAATTCTTTAGTTTATGAAATTTACAGTGATGTCCTTCAAGTGCACTGTTCACAGATGACTAGTGTTAAATTAGTCCAGAAAATATTTAGATAGTACCAGAGCATGAGGATATATGTACATGTATATCTTTATACTTTCTTTTTTCTAAATACAAAAGATAACAATGGAAAGTATAAGTTCTTTCATATGTTCCCCAAAACCTTCAACTATGTGATTTGATACATATTTGCATATAATGTCATTTGAACGTGCACATAAGTTTTCCACTCTATCACCACCAAGTTTCCTCACTAAAGAGTGATTCAGATTGATATTGTCATGGAAAATTTCATTGTGTAAATTCTCTACTGATATATGTTTCAGAATCTGATTTTCCTTGTTTTTTTTTCTCTTGCTCCCCATGCACCAAGTGATAATCTCTAGAGACTATAGAAGAGAAGTTGCACAGGGTAGCTCATTAGCCTATGACATCTTGCTACCAACGTAGTTTCTCTCATGAGACACGAGGAAAGAAGCCAGGGAGTGCTTTCTGTTTTGAGGCAAACCAGCAGCGTTGATACTCATTAAATAGGTCTAAAATCTCTTGCTTCTTCTCTGTTAGCTTCACAAGACTTTAATCTGTGAATTCACCACTTCCCTAATTAAGTCGTGTATCAATTTTAGGAGATGTAAGCCCCATAATTTTAGGTACCCAGCACAGCTGAAATTTGTCATTTACAAATTCTGATTTCAAAACCAGTGTACCCTGTCAAATAGTTAGTCTGTCACTTCATTAGACAGCTCAGCTTCAGAAATTTTCACACGAGTGTAGTTTTATATTTTCTTTGGAACAGCAAGATGTGTTAGTTCATTTATGTCCCGCCCTACCAGGGATATTTGGTAATTTTATTCCCATTATATAGTGATGCTTAACAAAATAAAACTGAAAAAACATTTGAGATAGCAGTTGTCTTTTGATGATACGTATCTTAAAATTAATCTGGAACAGGTTGAGACAAGTCAGCTTTGGAATAGCTTTTAAATTCCAAACCATGCATTCAGGTTTTAAGTCAGTCTTCATAATTTTGATCTTACATGAATCCTTATAGGAAGAACAAGTGGAATTTTGTTTAAAAAGAATTTATTTTCCTGACTACTAGTACTTTACTCTACCATTTTCTGTCCAGATGGGATTCCTTTTTTTAGCCCCCAAAAAGTCTGCACATCACGCTAATTTAAAATCAGATTGAAGCCTACTATATTCAAAAATACACTTATCTGAAATTTTTTTTTTAATGTTAAGTGTAAAGAATTGTATAAGACTCAGCTGGTAACACTTGAATATACAATTGCAAGTGTAAGTAAAGGTGGCTCAGAATGACATTCAGTACAACAAAGTAAAAGCATTTAATATACAAATTTTATCTTTATGTTTTATAATCTCCTTAGTATTGAATTTATCTGGATAAACCAAGACCCAAGTTAAGTTTTTATTTTTTTAAGTCACATTTATTGATTCTTGAGTTTTCTTCCAGATTAAATAATTATTATATGTGAATTGTAGGAAAAAAATGGAAAATGCAGATGGCCAAATTGAATCTTAAACAAAATTTTACTGCATTTCAAAAAGGGTTGTTAATTTTTTTTCACTCTTTTTCATTTCCATCCATGCCTGCCCTCCATGGTCCTAACACATAATATGCAGAAAAGTATTTTTCTTTCCTTTTTATTTTTTGACTAAAATGAGAAGCTTTGGAAATTTCAAAAGAAGACTCCTTCTCAAGAAATTTCCAATGGATAATTCTCATTGTAAGAGTCTGCACTTGAGCGTTTTCCCTAATGAAAATTTAGGCCATTTCAATCTATTCTCTCTTTTGACCAGTTAAACAAATCTTAAAAAAAAAAAAGTTTTGTTTTTTCCCAAATTATTAGACTAGTTAAAAGTTATTACTTATTTTGCAAGTAACTTGAATAAGGTAAATTACTTCTGTCCCAACTCTGACAAAAGTAATAGTTGGAGAAGAATGTTGGACTCATTTAAACACAGAAAGGAAAACCAAGGCATTGAATCCCATCATTAACATTATTCTTTGGGAAGCCTGGGTGAAAATGTAACTTCTCTGTTCCTTATAGTAGACTACAGATTCTAATCCCACTCACATAGGTTAACTTTATACTATGAGTGCTTCAAATGCCTATTTATTAAATATGCAAAACTGTTCCCTACACTGTGGAGCCTACAGCACAGAAGAAGTAAAATCATATTGTTTGAAGTACCTGTTGAACCAGAGAAGAATTTTACTATGATAAGGCAACCTCTTATAAATAGTCATAGTCATCCCTGATAACTTAAGCTCATCACCTTATGACTGCCACAAAAATCTACCCTCATGGACCAATCCCTATTTCACGTTTTAGCCAATATGTGAAGACTGTGGAATGGGTTATTCTAAGAATATTGTTCCCTGTTAGGCGTATTTTAAGGCTAGTGTTCCCTGTGATAGCAGTTTTATCAGACTGATCAGTACCTGCCAAGCGAAATGGAGAATAGTTACCCAAAATTTTCAAATCAGGATATTTTTACCTTGCTTTTCAACAAGAGTGAGAGAGATTTTGAATTTGTGTGTGTGTGTGTGTGTGTATCTGTGCATGTATAACTACTCCAATTCATTCTGTTCTGCCTTAAATAGATGCAGAGAGAAAGAGAGAAAGCTTTGCATCTCTGTTTAAGTGAAGAAATGAAAATAGGTTAGGAACCTGACAAAATCAAGAGATGAATTTACAAAGAAATACTTAGTCTTTAAGCACAAAACTGTTAGTGAAAAGAGTGTGTTGTCTAAGATGGAAAATTCTATAAACAATCTATATGTATATTCACAACTGGTATATGTTGCTTAATGTTTTCATTTCCCACCAATGTGAAATAAGTATCTGGAAATAAAATAGCTTCCAAAAAAAAAAAAAAAAGCCCAAAATATAATTCTTTTATGCCTTCAACATTAGGAGTAATGTTTAATAAAGTCTCATCAATCAGGACAATGAAAGTTCTGTGCTCTTTCCAGTGTTGCATACGTGTGTTTTCCCTTATTCTAGCATAAAGATGAATGTAGTTTGGTATCTTTTTCATGCTGCTTTTATTCTTTAACATTTAGGTGCCTTGACCCAAGCCATTCGAAATTTTGCAAAAAGCCTTGAAGGTTGGCTTTCCAATGCCATGAACAATATTCCACAGAGAATGATACAAACCAAGGTACCATTTCATGCCTTTGTCTTCTCCACATTTAGCAAGTGGTTCTGAACTGGGCATTTCATATTGTCCCTCTAAAATGTTGATATTGTAATGTATAGGATCTTCTAAAACTAAGATACATAGGTATCTTAGTGTGTGTGTATTATTATTATTATTATTATTATTATTATTATTATTATTAAAACATCTTCCAATAAGTAACTAGCACTAGAGTTATTTGATAATGTTCCCTTCTAGACTAGAGAAGCATTTTTAGGGTGGTAGATTTGTAAGACTTTTTCTAAAATATATATTTGAGATTGTTAAAAATAGCCTAGAATATTAAAATAGTTACTATTGGGAGAGTTTGCAGTATTTTTTAAATCACCTACTCTACTCATATTCTGTCTGAAAAGTCATGCAAATTACTATTCTTTTCTGAAGATGTTTGATATTTTTTTAACAGGAGA